TCCCAATCCCATCCCAATCCCAATCCCCAAACCAATCTCAATCCCAATCCCATTCCATCCCATCCCAATCCCATTCCCATCTCAATCTCCAAACCAATCCCATCCCAATCCCAATCCCAGAACCAATCCAAATCCCATCCAAATCCCAATCCCAATCCCAGAACCAATCCCAATCCCATCCCAATCCCAATCCCATCCCAATCCCAATCCCATTCCAATCCAAATCTCCAAACCAATCCCAATCCCAAACCCATTCCATCCCAATCCCATCACAGTCCCAGTCCTATCTCATCCCATCCTATCCCATCCCAATCCCAATCCCAATCCCAATCCCACCCCCTGGTGCCCGCAGACCATGCTGGGGGTCACAGTGTCACCCCCCTGTCCCCCCCGTCCCCAGAGGCGCTGACGGAGGACGACATCTACTGCCGCTGCCTCTCCAAGACCCTCTGCTACACGGCCACGCCCGTCACCGTCGGCTTCTACGCGCCCTGCGGCCAGCGCCTCTTCTCCCTGCTGGACAAGGTCACCGGTGCGTGTGGGGACACGGGGACACTGTAGGCTGGGGACATGGGGACACCATGGGCTGGGGACACGGAGACACCATGGGGGGGCCTGCCCGTTGGCACCTGGATTTGGGCTCAAATCCCATCCCCAACCCATCCCATTTGATCCATCCCATCCCAATCCTATCCCATCACAATCCCTGTCCTAATCCCAACCCCAATCCCATCCCAGTCCCATCCCATCTCCATCCCTATCCCAATCCATCCCCATCCCACCCCAATCCCAATCCAATCCCCTCCCACCCCAATCCCATCCCATTCTAATCCCATCCCATTCTAATCCCATCCCATGCTAATCCCATCCCAACCCCAATTCCCATCCCAATTGCCATCCTAATCCCAATCTGCATCCCAATCCCATCCCAATCCCAGTCCTAATCACAACCCCAATCCCATCCCCGTCTCATCCCGTCCCGTCCCATCCCCATCTCATCTCAGTCCCCATCCCAATCCCAACCCTAATCCCTATCTCTGTCCTAATCCCATCCCATTCCATCCCATCCCAATCCCAACCTGAACCCCAACCCCATCCCAATCCCGTCCCCACCCCACCCCAATCCCATCCAATCCCATCCCCAATCCCATTCCCATCCCATCCCTCCCCAATCCCAATCCCATCCAATCCCAATCCCACCCCAATCCCATCCCATCCCAATTCCAACCCTAAAGTCAATCCCATCCAATTCCCATCCCATCTCCATCCTCACCCCAGTTACAATCCCAATCCCAATCTAAATCCCATCTAATCCCAATCCCATCCCAATTTAAATTTCAATCCCCATCCCAACCCTAACCCAACCCCATCCCAATCCTGTCCCAATCCCATCCCAATCCCCATCCCATCCAATCCCAATCCCAACCCCAATCCCATCCAATCCCAATCCCATCCCATCCCATCCCAATACCAACCCTAACCCCAATCCCATCCAATTCCCATCCCATCTCCATCCTCACCCCAGTTACAATCCCAATCTAAATCCCATCCCATCAAATTCCAATCCCAATCCCATCCCAATTGCAATCCCAATCCCATCCCAACCCTAACACCAAGCCCATTCCAATCCTGTCCCAGTCACATCCCCATCCCCATCCCCACCCCCAATCCCATCCAATCCCATCCCAATCCCAACCCTAACCCTAATCCCATCCAATTCCCATCCCATCTCCATCCTCACCCCAGTTACAATCCCAATCCCAATCTAAATACCATCCCATCCAATTCCAATCCCAATCCCATCCCAATTTCAATCCCAATCCCATCCCAACCCTAACCCCAACCCCATTCCAATCCTGTCCCAATCCCATCCCAATCCCCATCCAATCCCACCCCAATCCCAACCCCAATCCCATCCAATCCCATGCCATCCCAATCGCAACCCTACCCCCAATCCCATCCCATGCCCATCCCATCTCCTTCCTCACCCCAGCTACAATCCCAATCCCAATCCCAATCCAATTCCAATC